CAGGATACAAAATTCGCACACACAAATTAGTAGCACTGCTATACATCAAGGGCAACCAAGCTGAGTATCAAATCAAAAACTCATTCCATTGACAATAACTGTCAAAAAGCTAAAATACCTAGGGTTATATTTAACCAAGGAGGTGAAAGGTCTCTACAAGGAAAACTACTGGTGAAATAAATTGAAGAGGACACAAACAAAATGGCGAAACATCCCATACTCATGGATTGGAAGAATCAACATTGTTTTTTGTTTGTTTTAAATTATTTTTAGATTTAGGGGGTACACATGCGTATTCATTATATGGACATATTGTGTATGTGGGAACTGAATCTCATGCAGTCCATTCCCCAAATAATGAACATTTTGCCATGTAGGTAGTTTCTGACGTTGTTTAAAAGACAAGTTTTAGATATGCTTTGGTGACACTGAGGAACTGGACTTGCCATTAGGCAACTCTACCAGAAGAGGGCAGTGGAGCATCTAGCCCCTGGGCAAAGCTCCATCAATAAATCTGATCTCTCATTAATCCAATATGATTTCTAATACATCTTAGTCTTTTCATCTGTTTCCTAAATATAACAGTTCACATCAAAGGGAGGCTCACACTTTACCTGTATGGTGTCCACTGTACAGTTCACACCAAAGGGAGGTTCACACTTTACCTGTATGGTATATCCAATTCTGAATTGTACTATATCTTTAAAATAAAATACATTGTTTTTAAATTGAAAATTAAAAAAACAGTTCACTATAGCAATCTTATGCAATGCGATATAAAGTTTAAAGATAATAGCTAGGTGATATTTAGTGATTATCTTAATATTCCTATAATTTCCTCCTTTTCCTCCCTCTTAGCTCTTTTCTCTCACCTTCATCAGCTGATGTCAAAATGATACTTAAATAAATTATCTGCTTATAACCACACTCTCAGGTGGAACCTCTTGTAAGTGTCAGGCCTATTTCAGTGTTGGAATCCCTGCCCAGTGATTTCCCATTCATCATGAGTGTTTTTTGTTTATCTTAGCCACACATAGTATATTTGCCCTGCTTGACAATTGAAAATAATTGAAAACAATTGGAAAAGCTGAAAAAACGGGGGGAGGGGAGCATCTAATAAATAAAAAGACTAATTAGCTTTTGCTGTTAATGAGAAAAGTCCTTCCCATACTCTATTTTCTCTGCTCTTTTTATACTGATGCAGATACAGAAACTAATAAAAATAATAGTATTAATATTGAGTTATAATTACTACTAAACAGTTATGATGAGTACAATTTATGGGTCATGTACAAATATTATGTATTTCAATCTTCACAACTATTATCCCCTTTATACCAGGAAACTAAGGCATAAAGGATTAAGTATACCTCTAAGAATACACATAGCAAAAATGTAGATCTATTTTTTTTTAATTAAAGCACTACCAAAAGTAATAAGAGAATAAATCTGAATAAGTGGAAAGGCAGACCATATTCTTAGAAAGGCTCAATATCATGGAGATACATGTTTCCTTATGTTAAATTATACAGTTAACAGGTGCCTAATTAATTTTTTTTTTAAGAAATTTATGTTTGAGATCACACAAAATTATTCTAAAAATAATAGCCAAGAAATTTCTGGAAAAAAAATTAATGAAGCAGGACTACTTTACCAGATTTTCAGACATATTACAAAACTAAATACTTAAAATGCAGTAGTCATGACACATGCTTACACCAAGGCAATGAAATAGAATAGACAGTCTAGAAATAAGCCAACATAATCAAGAAGTTGATATTTGATTTTTAAAGTAGCATTTTAAATCAGTGGAAAAAATTATTTAATAAATAGCATAAAGACAACAAGTTAATCACATTGAAAAAATAAAATGTATCAATAAATGATACCTTATATCAGAATGACTTCCAGGATAGTAAAATACTTAAATGTAAAAATGAAAGCATTTTTTACAGTACTCGAAAAAATAAAAGAAAGATTTTTATGACAGCGAAATGAGGACTGCCTTTTAATTATGAGACAAAAATCCCAGAAGTCATTAAATTATTTTGGATAAAATCAGCAAAAATCTCTGCATGGCAAAAGTTACTATTATAAAAGTAGAAACCAACCAAAGCATGAAAGGTAAGGGGAAGGTGGGTAAAATTTCAAAGATGTAGCATGAAGGAGCTTTTTTTTTGTGGTAATGGAGTGGTTCGGTATCTTAACTGTAATTACACAAATCTATATGAGGGGGAAATTGCACAGAACTACACACATGCATGCACACAAACACATACACACACGCACAACTTAAATAAGGTCCGTAGACTCATTAACGGTAATATACCAATTTTCTAGTTTTGATATTGTACCACAGCTATATAAGATACCACCACTGAGGGAAATTGGATGAAGATTAACAGGACTCTACTATTTCTGCAATTTACTGTGAGCCTATCATTATTTCAAAATAATAGAGTTGTTAAAATTAGTATTAAAATAGGAAAAATTAAAATAAAAACACTGGGATTTGGGGAAAGTAATGCTGCTCACATCACAAACAAAGAGCTGATTTCTCTAAGTTACATCTTAGGGTTCCTCCAAGGCAATAAAATTTTTTTTAAAAAAGGCCAAAAACCAAATCTAAAAGAGATATAAATTGTCTACAGGAAATAAATGCAAATGACTTTAAACACATAAAATAGTGATACATTCTCCTTCACAGTAAGAGTTGTGCAAATTACAACTACACTAATATACTATTTTTTACCTAAAATATTGGCAAAAAATAAAAAATGAAAACAAGCACTCTAATAAATTACTGGTGAGAAAGTAAATTTATGCAAACCTATAAAGGATAATATTGTCAAAACTAGCAAAACACAAACCATTTGACTCACTAATTCCATTTCACGGGATTTATCCTGTAATTACCTTGCACGTGTGCAAGCTCACTTATGTAGAAAATTAATCATTACAACACTGTTATGATAGCAAAAGACAGGAAGTAACCTAAATGACCTCAAACAGAAGACTAAAGAAATTGTGATATATCCATGCCAAAAATTTAGAAAGTGAAGAAATACGATGTGTGGCCACATATGTAGATCTCCAAGATATTTTGTTCATGGAAAGAGCAAAAAACAGAACAGTGTCCATATTGTACAACCATTCTGTAGAAATAGTCAAAAAGCAGTTAGTTAATAAGCTAGCTAGTTAGTTAGTTAGTTACTGATATACCAGTATGTAAGTTAGTTGACTGCTTCATTAGTTAGGTATTAGTGGCTTTCTGGTAGAGAACAGACTACCTCCAGGGATGTTCTTAAAACTGGTAAGAATGCCACAGAAGGGAACAGGCAGAAGGGGGGTTTTCTATAAATACTCTTCAATACATTTTGAGATTTCAACCATGCAAATATATTACTTATTTTTTTAACTTTTAAATTTTTTTTTAAAGATGTGGGTAACAATTCAGGGTTAGGTGTACAAATATTCATTATGCAGATACCCTTGTTGATGAGGTGTGCCCCTCCTTCCCCAGGCAAATGCCCTACTGCCAATCCTACCTCCCCGCCCCCACAAACCCCTGCAGTTTCCCGCTACTGCCATTCCTTTTCTTCCAGTATTATAATTATATTACTTATTTTGAAAAATAAATGTTTAAATTGAAAAAGTAGAGTCATTCACCCAAAGGTTATAGTTGATAAGCATACACCACTCAGCAGCATATACCCTAATCAATAGGGAAATATTCTCAGAGGAGATTAAAATTTCTCCCTATTGGGAATTCAGTTGCAAGCTACTGTCTGAAATTTGCACATTGATGCCTTTTCAAAAACTTTCAACTCTGCCTTAGAGACACCCGTCTCCAATTCACTTTTTTTCCAAAATTATTTCTAAAAACATTTGTATAACAATTGATGCAAGTTATATTAAAAGAACATTTAAACATGACATTAAATAGGGTAGGTTTTAAATATGTATATTAAAATATTTTTTAGATACTAAGTGAAATTCTTGAGTCTCTGTTTTTCAGAATAAAAAATACATGTTTACTCAATGCAGATGTGACACTATGACATTATTTGGGGGAAAAAAGAGAAAGTCCTGGAAAAACTTAAAATAACAGAAAGTCACAATGTGCCTTTTTCCTAAAAAATGATAAACACAGAAAGTCTGGCTGCCACTCAGACTTCAGAGAAGAGAAAATTGAAGACAGAACAATAGAAACAGTAATGCGAGAAGACGTGGGATGGCATATAGAAACCTTTCAGTCATCTTAGTAAATTCAAAAGCACATTATCCAAGTTTGTGAAGAGAAAAAGAATCTCTATACAATGAAGCATGATTAGACCTCACAGCACTGACCACTGCCTGCCATCCTGGTTCAGTTGTAGAAACAAATATTTTCTCTTAACTTTCAAGTAGGCAGTTGAGATAAGAGGATATAATTAATTAAGACTTTGAACTGAAGCCTTCTAGACAACAAAGGGGTGACTGGGTGTGGCATCACAAATCTATAGAACCAACTACTCAAAAGGTTGAGATGGGAGGATTACTTGAGGCCTGGAGTTCGAGAATTCAATTAGCTAGCATTGAGGTGTGCACTTGTAATTCCAGTTACTAGGAAGGCTGAGGCAGGAGGATTGGTTTGAGGCCAGGAGTTCAAGGCTGCAGAGGACTATGATCCCACTATGGCAGTCCGACCTCAGCAGTAAAATAAGACTTTGTCTCAAAAAAATTAAAACATGTAGAGACACAAACATAAAGAGTAGCACAACATTTCACATTCTGAAGAGTGCCAGCTCTCTGGAATCCATGGAACGACATCACAATAAATTCCCAAAGAAAGGAAGCATGCTCAGCATTTCCAGATTTCCTTGTCTCCATGAAAGGGGGGACCCACAGCAGGATCCAGTAGTCATCTGTCTATGAAGACATTTCCATGTCGACGTGTCACAGTCATGTCATCCTCACCTAGGTCTTTTCTGGAGATCTGGATAAGGAGACCATTCCACTTAGGCCACCCAGAAGGCCCTGGTCAACAGCAATAGCTGCCTAAACCCATCTCGAAGTTTGAGGTTGCTGAAGATGAGGATGAAAGGATGGACAGATATGCACAGGTAGAATATAATTTGCCAAGGCCAGAACCACTCACTCTTTGATGAGAAAATATCTACTGCATAGATGATCAGGGACACAAAGGACAGAATATAAAGAAAGAGGAAGGAGATAAGGGACTTCAGAGCTCTGGTGTGAGCCTGGGTGTTGGGCTCCTGCAGGCTGTGTCCATTGTGCCGCATTCTACAGATATGTCTCCTCAGAGAATTAATCAACAGTGCAATTGACACCAGAAAGACAGAGCAAGGGATTGACAAGGTGACAAGTTTCAGAGGTAGAAAATAGTAAATTTCCATCCTTCTGCTCCATTCCTTATAGGTCATGTTACAAGAAACTTTTCTAATTAAAAACCTTCGATACATAGAGTGCTTTCCCCAAATGGAGAGCAGAGATACAATGAACGAGAACAGAACAGAGCCCAGCAGGAGCCACGGCACTGACCCTGGGAGCCTCCACTTCAGCCAGAGGAAGGTGCGGTGGGTGATGTTAGCAATCTTCATGCAGAACAGGACGCTGAGCCAGGTACCAAACCAGAAGGTAGCTGAGTTCAGGAAGTGCCAATGGAGAGCAAAGAGCTGTTGGGAGAGACCCCTGAAGTCCTCGACCATGTGGACAAAGTAGTAGAAGTTGTGCACCAACCCAACCCACTGCAGGCAGAAGCGGGAAGCACCCAGGCTCATGAGGATCATGTCCAAGGGAAGCAGTCTACCATAGCGCAGCCACTCCCTGCCCAGTGCCAACACAATGAAGCCATTTGCCAGGATCCCCAGGAGACACAATAGGGCAAAGAGCAACATGAAGAAGGCTGTCAGTGCTGGATGCATTTTGACCCCCTCCTCCTGTCACCACCCACGGTCCCTCTTTTCAGTCTTTCCTGGGGGTCTCAGAAGAGTGGTCAGGCTTTGCATCTGAGCCAGAGTTCACTTAGAAAAATGCTCAGCTTGAGAGGAAAGGTGTGCCCTTAGCTCAGACAAGATGCAAATTTCCTCTGGGCTCAGTTACCACTAGCCTTACCAAATGCTCCTGATTTGCCTTCTCTGGTTTTGCCTGCAAGCTGCCATGGATAGCATCAATGTGGAGAATTTTTCCAGGTCTCTGTGACTGAGTTCTAGGCTTCTTGTTTTATCCTTGGGCCATGTGAACACTCCTCTTTCCATCACATCATTCCTAAGATTTTAAGTGCATGGACAAATACAGGGAGAAACCTAGAAAAAAAATGACAACAGAGAAGTCTATCTCAGCAGAGCTTCCCTGTGACATCTTCACTCTTACCCATGGACTGCCGTTTCTTCAAAGTCAAATGCCTTTTCTGCCTTTCAATTCAAATCTCAACTTAAATCTTTATGGACCATGAGATATAAATGATTGACAATGGCATAAAATGGTTTTGTATTTACAGTAAGATAATTCAGAAGCCGAACTGAGGACCCTGCTTCTTGCTAGGTGTTGGTTGGAGACTGCCCTCTGATCCTAGAGGCCTCCCACAGTCTCTACCAAGTGAGCTGTTTCAACACAGGCACTTCCTTTCTCAAGCCAGCAAACAGCCTCTAGAGAAGTCTGCTAGCCAGATGGAGTCTCATGTAATATAAAAGATTCACGAGAGTGACATCCTATCACCTTTACCATATTCTGGTGGCTAGAAGCAAATCACAGTCATCATCAGCACTCAAAGGAAAGGGGTTACACAAAAGCTCGACACCAGGGTTGGGGAACATGGGGACCACTTTACAGTCTCTTCACACAAAGTTTTCCTAGCTTCCAAGGCATATGTGTGTCCTGTCTTCCAACACCAACATCAAAAAAAATTCTCTATGAGACCATATTGAAAGCAAAAATAATTTCTCTTTTAGTATAGCCATCACCTCACATAGTTACTATTTTCAATTTTTTCATGTTTGATGAGATCACTTAAGATCTACCTTATCAGGAAATTTCAAGTATACAATAAAGTACTGTTAACTATGTTTATAGAAGAGGGACCCAAAATAACTAGAATTCTTTTGGAGGGTAAGTCCCTTGTAGTACCCTCAGAATTTGTTCCTCCAGATCAAACAGTCAACCAAAGTTTTTATCTGGAAGCTTTGAAAAGATCACACCATGATTTGCAGAAGCAGCATCCCAAGTTGTGACAAACATGTGAATGGTTTTTCCACCATGTCAATGCACCTGCCCACACCACACTGAATGCTCAGCAGTTTTTGACCAAAGTGGCATGACTCCCGTGTCCCACCCTTTTATTTACCCAATCTAACCCAAGCAATTTGTTGTCGTTGCTGTTGCACCAGGCCAAAAAAATCCTCATAGGGAAGCAGTTTGCCAATGTGGAGGCGTCAAAATTGAGAAGTTCAAAAACTTTTGAAAAGTGGACAAATCGTCTCAATAGCTGTATTGCATCAAACAAAGAGTACTTCAAAGTTGACAGAAGTTTAAACATGTAAAAATAAATAAATTTTTCTTACAAATAAATTCTGGGGTTTTGGAGTCTCCCTCATAGTATAGTACTTTAGGTCTCCGGAACATGTACACTTAGCATAACAGAAACTTGGTAACCCTTGACCAACGGCTCACCATTTCCCCTTCCTCTCAGACTTGTCAATCATTGATTTACTGTCTGTTCTTATAAGTTTGATTGTTTTAGATTCCACATAATGAGATCAAGCAGTATTTTCTTTCTGTGTATGAAATATTTCATTTAATGTGATGTCTTCTGGGGTGAGTTTATCCATGTTGTTGCGAACAGCAGGATCTCTCTCTCTTTTTTTTTTTTTTTCCAAGACAGGATCTCACTTTGTCACCCAGGCTGGAATACAGTAGTGTGATCCCAGCTCACTGCAGCCTCAGTCTCATAAACTCAAGCAGTCCTCCCACATTAGCCCCCCAAGTAACTGGAACTACAAGCACTTGCCACCATGCACCACTTTTTTTTTTTGTAGCGATGAGGTCTTACCATGTTGCCCGGGTTGATATCAAACTCCTTGGTTCAAGTGATTCTCCCGCCTCAGCCTCTCAAAGTGCTGGGATTACAGGCACAAGCCACAGTGCCTGGCCAGAATCTCCTTTTGAAGGTAAATAATATTCCATTCTGCATATGTGTCACGTTTTCTTTATCCATTCATTCATCAATGAACCTTTAGGTTGTTTCCATATTGTGGCTACTGTGAATAGTGCTTCAATGAATGTAGAATTGCAGATACCTTTTCAAGATACTAATTTTATTTCCTTTGGTTATAAACCTGGGAGTGGTATTACTGGATCATCGTGTGTTTCTACTGCTAATATTTTAAGAAACCTTTACACTGTTTTTGCCAATGGCTCCGCTAATTTACATTTTCACCAACAGGGTACAGAATTTTATTTTCTCTGAATTCTCACCAACATTTATAATCTCATCTTTTTTATAATAGTCATTCTAATAGATGTGAGGTGATAGCTCTGTGGTTTTGACTTGCATTTCCCTGATGATTTGTGATGTTGAACACCTTTTCACACATTTGTTGGCTATTGGCATGTCTTCTTTTGAGAAAAGAATTCAGGTCCTTTGTCTATTTTAAAATCAGGTTATTTGGGATTGTTTTTGAAATTGAGTTGAATAAATTTCTTATATATTTTGGGTATTAAACTCTTATCAGGTTATGTGGTTTACAAATATTTTCTCTCATCCTTAGGTTGCCTATACGTTCTGCTGATTGTCTCCTTTGCTTTTTAGAAGCTTTGTAGTCTGATACAATCCCATTTGTCTATTTTTGCTTTTCTTGCCTATGCTTTTGGTATCATTTCCTAAAAATCATTGTCCAGACCAATGTCAAAAAGTTTTTTTCCTATATTTTCTTCTAATAGTTTTATGACTTCAGGTCTTACATTTAAGTCATTATTCCATTTTAAATTAGCATTCTTCTGCATGTAAATATCCAGTTTTTCTGACACCATTTATTGAAAAGATGGTCCTTTCCCCATTATATGCTCCCAACACTTTTGTCAAAAACTGACTATAGATTTGTAGATTTATTTACGGGCTTTCTGTATTATTCCATTTTTCAATGTGTTTTCATGGTATGCCAGTACCATGCTGTTTGGATCCTATAACTTTGTAATATATTTTGAAATCCAATAGTGTGATGAATCCAGCTTTTTGTTTGTTTTGTTTTGTTTATTTTTTGGTCAAGATAGCTTTGGCCATTTGGGAACTTCTGTGGTTCCATATGAATTTTAGAATTGCTTTTCTATTTCTGTGAAGAATGACAATTGAATTTTAATAGGGATTGCTTTGAATCTGTAGACTACCTTGGGTAGTATGGACATTTTAACAATGTATATGTTTTTTCAATCCATGAATATGGGATATCTTTCCATCTATTTGTATCATCTTTAATTTCTCTCATCAATGGGTTTTTATTCATTCAACAATTTTTGATAGAATTTTATATATAATATCATGTCATCAGCAAACAGAGACAATTTCACTTTATCATTTCCTTTTTGGATGCCATTATTTCTTTTTCTTGCCAATTGCTCTGCAAGGACATTCAGTACTACACAAAGTGAAAGTGGTGAATATGTGCATTCTTCTCTTGTTCCAGCTCTTAGAGAAAAAGTCTTCAATTTTTCACCATTGATTATGACGTTAGCAGTGGGTTTGCCATAATGGCCTTTATTATACTGGGGCACATTCTCTCTATACCTAATTTGTTTAGAGTTTTTTACCATGCCTACCAGGGATAAATTCCACTTGATTGTAGTCGGGTGATCATTTTAATGTACATTGAATATAGTTTACTACTATTTTGCTGAGGATTTTTACATCTATGTTCATCAGTGATATTGGCCTGTGGTTTTCTTTTCATGTAGCATTTTTGGCTTTGGTACGATGATAATTCTGACCTTGTAAAATGAGGTTATAATATTTTCTCCTCTTCAATTTTCTGGAAGAGTTTGAGAATGAGGTTATAATATTTTCTCCTCTTCAATTTTCTGGAAGAGTTCTTTAGATGTTCAGTAGACTTCAGCCATGAAGTCATATGGACCTGGGCATTTCTTTGATGAGAGACACTTAATCACCTTATTAACTATAGGTGTGTTCAGATTGTAAATTTCTTTATGATTCAGTTTTTGTAGGTTATATATTTCTTGGAATTTACCCATTTCTTCAAGGCTGTTCAATTTGTTAGTGTATAACTTTTTATAGTAGTCTTTTACAATCCTTTGTATTTCTGTGTTATCAGTTCTAATGTCTCCGCATTTATTTCTGAATTTATTTACTTGAACCTTCTTTTTTCTTAGTATAGCTAAGTGATCATTTTGTTTAGCTTTTCCAAAAAACAACTCTTAGTTTTATTGATCTTTTCATTGTTTTTCTATTCTGTTTTTATTTACTTCTGCTCTAATCTTTATTCGATTTTCTTCCTTCTGCTACCTTTGGACTTAGCTTAAAATCCCCTTCTTAAACACTTGATGTATAATATTAAGTTGTTAACTTGAGATTTTTTTCTTTTCAATATAGGCACTTATTGCAATAAACTTTCTTCTTAAAAATTACATTTTCTACATCTCATAAGTTTTGATATGCAGTGTTTTCATTTTCATTTGTCTCAAGATATCTTTATCTTTAATTTCTATTTTGACTCAATAGTCATTCAGCAGCATATTGTTTAATTTACACATATTTAGTAATTTTCCATGATTTCTCCTGCTATTGATTTCTAGTTGTTTACCACCATGGTTAGAAAAGACAATATAATTTTAGTCTTAAATTTTAAGAGCTGTATTATGGCCTAACATATGATCTGTCCTGGAGAATGCTCTTGTTGAACTTGAGAATAATGTGTAT